TTTTTTTTTAGGGAGAGTGAGGAAAGGAGAGGGGGAGAGAGAGAGAAACATCAATGAGAGAAAAACATGGATCGGCTGCCTCCTGCACGCCCCCTACCAGGGATCAAGCCCCAAACTTGGGCACATGTCCTGTACAGGAATCAAACGGGCCACCTCTTAGTGCAAGGACATTGCTCAACCAACTGAGCCACACTGGCCAGGGCAATTTTATCATCAAATAGTATTATATAAATAAGACAAGCATACACAGAACATTTTTCTCAGTAAATCTGGAAGATATCACTAAGTTTAACTCCTTATAAGTAGAGACTAGTGAAGAATTTGATAGATGGCCAGAATTTGAAGAATTTGAAGAATCTGATATAGGCAGTCTAAGGAGGAATGCTCAAAAAAAGCAAGATGGAGGAATGCTGTCACTCCTCACTCTTATGAAATACTGGGACTCCCAGAGAATACCTCTGCAGAGAAAGTAAAATGCTGGGTACCTACTAAGCACTCAACTAACAAATACTTCTTGAATTGGACAGTTACTTTATGTGTTTTAATAGCCTTTCATTCGTTTGTTCATCAATCATCAAATACTTTGTGAGCACCAACTATGGCTAGGCATCGTTCAAGGCACTGGGGATACAACAGTGAACAAAATCAAGTCCCTGCTCTCATAGAAAGAGACATTCTACTCAGGACGTAGGTGTAAAGGGCTCCATCATATTTTCAGAAAAGAAGTCTCTTCAACTCTGGACAGTCACCACTCCCTCCCTCTGCTATCCCTGCTTGCCATCTGGGCTGTTCACATGATGGAGGTGAGAGGAGTTCACCTCCCAGCCAAAACATGATCTCAAACGAACTGCTAATTTTAAGGACCCAATGACATTATTAAAAATATAGAGAGAATTACTAGAAAAAGGAACCAACTCCATCCCAGGAACTGTTTTAAGCACTCGTGACAATCCTAGGAGATAGGCAGCAAACAACAGTACTTTACAATTGAGAAAACAGACTCAAAAATCATTGAATTAGAACAGGAAACTGGGTATTTATTTATTAGTGCTTATTATGTACCAGTCATTGTGCGTGCAGATACACCAGCTCATTTATTTCATTTTCATAACCATATGTGGTATTAGGAGTCTTGCATTAACAAGGAAAGTGAGACCTTTGGTACTCTTTCCCAAAGTTACTTATTAGTAAATGGCAGGCCTAAGATTCAATCCCTCTTCTGTGCCCTTCCCATCACATACACATTCATTTGGATTCTTTCAGAAACCAGGGCATTCTTACAGAAACCAGTACACATCTCACCTCAATCTGGTCAATTTTTACTTGCTTGTATGCTTTCTTCATTTCCTTCACTCCCAGTTTCATAGCATCAACCTAAAAAAAGATTAAGAGAAAACACAATGTCTTAAGAAGCCATGCTGGTTAAGCTGTCTTTTAAAAACCATAGGAAAAGAGCACAAGAGTACAAAAATAAAATCATGGGAAAAGGTGCTATGGAAGTACCGTGGTCTTGGTGTCCTTCAATGACTGGATAGTGTAATTGGCTTGTTCCATGTTAAATGACTGTTGGGCGAGATTGTCCCGCTGCTGCTCATACCTTTTTAGAGTGAATTGAGAATGGCAAATGTGAGCCAGATATAAATCCTCAGGAAGAAAGTATCTCTAATACTAAATAAGAGAATTTTCTTTCAAAATTTGTTAAAAAATTAAATATACAAAAAAAAAAAAAAAAAAATTGGCCAAAATAATCACTCTAACCCAGCTGTTTTCAACCTTTTTCATCAATGGCACACATAAACTAATTACTAAAATTCTGTGGCACACCAAAAAAAAATACATTTTTTTTGGTCAACTTTACACAAAAAAAAAATAGGTGTAATTTTGATTCATTCACACCAGATGGCTATTGTTGTGTTGACTATTGTCATTTTTTTTGACAATCTAAGGGAAAAGAGGTCAGTGCCCTTGACTAGTCAGGTATTGCATATTTTAAAAATTCTTGGAGCACACCTTTTGAAAATCGCTGCTCTAACCAAATACCATTTGATGTACCCCCTCCAGTCTTCTTCTTTTGTATGTATTTTAGTTATAACACTATTTTCCATTTAATATCATAACATTTTTGCTACAAAGTTGTAATATATATGTCTTTATGTTTTACATTATTTCCTATGCTAAATTCCCAGAAGTGGAATTCTGGGGCAAAGGGTAAGACAATTTTTTTTTTAACATATTTTTATTGATTTCAGGGAGAGAGAGGGAGAGAGAGATAGAAACATCAATGATGAGAGAGAAGGGTAAGACTATTTTTAAGGCTGCTCATACATAAAGTGAAACTATTTTTCCAGTAGACTAAACTCCTTGAGGACAAGTATTATATTTTATTAATCGTGTATCCATAATTAGGTAACCAATCTGACCTAACATAATGCCTGGCACTCTCAAAATATGTTTTTTTAAATAAAGTTTTATATCAAAGTGTAATACTATCCCAAAGACTTATGTCATTATATTCTTTATACAATATTTGGAAACCATCTAACTGTCCAACCAGGAGAAAAATGGTCAATTCATGGTATAGGCAAACAGTGGTGGAATATTAAAAAGTATAAAGTTTCCAAAGAATATTTAAAAGGACAAAGAAATGGTCACGATATAACGTTAAATGGGAAGGAATACCTATATACACACCATTTGTTTTCTTCTAAATTATGTGCCCATACACCACGTATGCTCAAGCACAGAAAAGAAACTGTAAAAAGTAAGCATTTTAAATGGGTTTTTTTAAGTTGATTTCTCAGAGAGAGGAAGGGGGAGAGAGAGAGAAACATCAATGATGAGTCATTGATCTGCTGCCTCCTGCAAGGCCCCTACTGGGGATGGAGCCTACAACCTGGGCATGGGCCCTGACTGGGAATTGAACCGAGATATCCTGGATTATAGGTCAATGCTCAACCACTGAGCCATGCTGGTTATGCAAGAAATCAGCATTTTAAAGATGGTTATTTATAATAGTAGGAATCTAGGTGGCTTTTCTTTTTTCTACTTATGTTTATATATTTTCCAAGTTTCTACAATGAACATATATCCTTTTATTTAAAAAAAGTTACTTAAGCCCTGGCTAGCATGGCTCAGTGTTTAGAAGGCTGAAGGTTGATCCCCAGCCGTGGTTGGGGCCTGTGTGGGAGGCAACCAATAGCTGTGTCCCTCTCACATCAATGTTTCTCTCTCTCTTTTTCTCCTCCCTTCCCTTCCACTCTCTCTAATGAAAATCAATGAAGATAATATCCTCGGGTGAGGATTAACAAACAAAAAAGTTGCTTAAAACTTGCAGCGCTACCAATTAAGGAGGCAATGGTTTTACCACATTATCACCACTCTAGCGCATTACATTTTCTTTTTCCAATTTTGTCTAATCTAAAAGGAGTAAGATGGTATCTGATGTCTTATAAAAAGTTATTTTATAAATAGGAAAAGAGTATCAGCAATCTTCCTGGTTTCTTATTAGTTGATTCCATCTGACCTCTACAACCCTGCAGAAAGTCTCTTTAGCTGGACAGCCTACAAGGGTAAGCAACAAAGATACTATTTGGCTTCTGCTTAAACACTGGAATATTGCCACCTAAAACAAACTAAGGACCCTTAAATCTTCCAGTGGGAGAGAACAAATAGTCAAGATTCCCAATTTTACAAACAAAAATTAAAAAGGCACACTCTAATTAAATAAGTAATGAGAGAACCAAACCCTATAGATCTGGGCAGTCCAATACAGAAGTCACCAGCCACATATGGTTACTTAAACTTAAATTGTTAAAATTAAATAAAATTAAAGCTTCAGTTCCTAATCATACTAGTCACATTTCAAATGCTCAATAGCCACCCATGGCTAAGACATTCTGAACTATACAGCATAAATACAGAACATCACTATCATAGCAAAAAGTTCTATTTAAATGGATGGTGCTATAAAAGGTGTTGCTGAATACACAGTAGGGGAAAAACCAGCTAACTACATATGTAAATGAAATTTGTAATTAAATGAATAATGCTTATAAAACGGTATAAAAACCTAAAGGAATGGAAGATCATTTCTCTTTTGGTCAAACCTGTGGAAGAAAGGAGATTATGCCTATAACTTACATCCGCTTTTGCTTTAAAACCCGCAAGGCTTTCTGCTTGACCATATTCTGACGAGAAAAAACAGATTTTAATAAGTAGAAAATATACATATGTAAAAGAAATCTCCCATATCCACAAATATACATATCTACTTACTTAATTTGAAGAAATTCTTTAAGTTAGCAGATATAGTGGCTCCTGGATTGTTCTTCACCTCCCAAGCACAGTCTTTAAGACTCAGTTCATCTCTGCCTTTGCATTTCACATCTCAGTGTATTAACTGCATGTCTCTTCCCTACTGCATATTAATTCCACCCCCAGCCCCAAAGGTGCTGATTTTTTACATTCAGTTGCCTTAGGAGATCTCCAACTTGGGCATCCTGCTATCCACTCAAACTCAACATGCACAAAGTCCTCAATCTGCTCTCTCCTTGGAAACGACTAACAGCCCCACATAGGTTTTTCTCCTTACCAGACTGTGAGCATACCTTTTGTATCTCTCACCAGCCCCTACTTCCACAGGTGCTTAAGTTAGGCTGTCACAGAAACTGCAGCCTATCTTACCTTTGCCGGACTCTCTCTCATCTTCTTCATCTGATCCTTATACTTTGCTAGCTCAGCATCCAGTCGAGAAATCTTCTTGTCAATAGATTCTGCTCTGCTGTCCACCTTGAGGGGGGAAAAAAATCAAAGGCACTGGTAGCTATTATAATATACTTACATGAGAAGGAGCAGGAGAGGAAAGAATATGGAGGAAGAAAAGAAAAATAAAGAGGATCATATGGTGAGGGGTGGAAAACTGTGGTTCCCAAAGGGGGGG